TATATATATATATATATATATTGATTTATTAATTATTATTAGATATTAATTTAACTTTAAAATGTAATATGCATCAGACGGGATATATTTGAATTAATTGATTATGCAAATACGTTTCACATATAATAAACAAAGATTAAATAAAATATACGAATAAAGTAAAATCAGAAATAAAACAAACAAAAGATATAATCAAAATAAACTCACTTATCGACCAAGTCCTATTCCTAGCATCAGCCCAAGTCTGTGTTTCTTCTTTGTATTGTACGATAATACTTTTGATTGGTAGATCCTTAGGTGCGTATGGTAATACAAAATCAAATTTAATCGTAGTAGCAGTTATTTCAATCATCTTGGCTTGTGCTACTTCACTAGGTCTAGTTGCTTCTTTTAATTCCAATTTGTGTACTCGGGTGCCATGACGATTAGCAGCAATGCACTTGTATGTAGTATAATATCTGCTGTCGAGTGGTATGATCATAAGGGTTGAAATAGGTCCGTTACCAAATTGTTTGATTTCTGGTACATCCTCAATCTTTTTATCGGCACCCATTGTCCATGTGATCGTTGCGTTTGGTATACTTTCAGCGATGCAAGTCAAATTGACGGGTCTACTTTCCCACGACCAGGTTGTGTTGTTTTCCATGTATGCGAAAGTTGGTGGAAATTCAACGGTTAAGTGACCATTTTTGTAAGCTTTTCCACCAGCATTTTCAGCCACACATTCGTAAAGACCATCGTTGGATCTAAAAACATCTCTGATGTTCAAAATACCAACAGTTTCACCAGTAACTTCGTTAGGTTTATTGATCAACACAATTCTGTCATCGTCAACTTGGGCACCTATAACGTATGCCTTTTCTGCAGTGTGTTTTCTCAAGGTCACTTTAGGAGGTGGCCTACCAAAAGCTTTGCACTTGACGTCCACCTCTTTACCCTGTATTGCCGTTTCATTTGGAAATTCCATGATTTTTGGTTTGACGATTACGTTAACGACTATGTTCGTTGTTGCCGAACCAGCTGCATTCGTAGCAGTGCACTCGTATTCACCCGCATCTTCACGATTTACGTTGGTTATTGTCAAATCACCTGTGTCCGGATTAACCGTAAACCGATCAGTCGATGATAGATTTTGTTTGGTCAACGATTGGATCCAGGAGAACTTTGGTGGTGGTTTGCCTTTGGCTTTGCATTCGATTTTTTGATTTTCACCCTCGATTATATCGACTGGTGTTGATCTTTCTTCGATGGTTGGACGTATGTGAACCTGGTGATGGTTAAATTATAATGTTTTTAGAACTATAAATTTAGTTATATAAATAATTAAACAAATTTTAATTACTATACTAAAGAGGGCCAAGTTAAAAAAAAATCAAAGTAACAATTTCAATTTTTAAATTCTTCCACACATAATTTCAACCCTAAAATAATTGATTATTCTACTTAATAACAAAAAATTATATTTTTTATTAATAAAACTGTTTAAAAATTATTTTAATTGTCAATGATATTTTCTGACTACCTGTTTTTCCAGGTACATTAAAATTATTTTTTTTCTCTTTAAGGTTTTTGTTTTTTTTTTTACAAGAAATTATGAAATATGTGTACCTCAACGCGTATTGGTCGTTCCTTAAGTTCACCAGTAGTCAGAACAGATGCACGACAAGTATAAATACCGTCATCGGATTCTTGAACATTTTTTATTTTTAATGCATGAGTGTCGATGATATAACGATCATTCGTTTTGACCAATTCTCCATTGAACAACCAATCAACGGAAGGTGAAGGCCTTGCACGTACTTTGCAAAGTATAGCAAAATCATCCCCAAGAATTGGATATTGATTTTCTGGTGCGTTGTCAAATGTTATTGCAACTGTGACAAATAAATATTAATAATACACGTATAATATATTATGTCATCGATTTGTTTATACTAATTGTTTTAATAATTATTATTATTATTATATTTATAAAATTAATAAACAGAATTATTTAATATAAAATTAACTCTTTCACGCGTACGATATGAATTTTAATTATTAATTAAATTATTAATTAATGTTTTTTTTAGATAATTTAAATAATAATTTAAAATAAATGAAATAAATTATAATTAAATTATATTAAAATATAATAATATAATTTAAAATAAATATTTTAAATTATTAAAAAAAACATTGTTAGTAAGATTCATCATACAACGATTATATTCGTTTGTAATTTATAAATTTAAAAAAATTATTTTCCATGTTCTACAAAAACAAATTCGAATTAATTTTTTTTTATTTTTTATTTAATTATTATTATTATTATTATTATTATTATTATTATTATTATTATTATTTAGTACATATATTAATAATTTTAACAATTAATATTATATTTAAAAATAAATATATTTCTTTATTTCCTAATTATAAATATATGTACTTGCATACATGATAATTATAAAGTATTATAATAATCCTTATTAAAATAATCCTTACCGATAGTATCGATCGTGACGGATTTGTTCAAAGGCACCGAATTCGCATAAGTTCCCTTGCACGTATATTTCCCAGCTTGTTCTTCTTGAAGCGAATGGAAGAACAGGGAAAGACTGTTGTCCTGATGCAATTCCGTATACATGGCCGGTTTCGAATGACCATGTACGAGTGGTGACGTGCTGTGAAAAATAATTGTATTCTAATGTTAGTAGATTTAAAAACAAACAAAAAATAATAATAAAACAATCGTTTGCAATGATAACAATGAAAATAGAAATAAAACGATTATTAATTATGAACAAGCACCAGGGGGTAAAGGGGGAAGGCTCGTGAAGAGAAACATTAACGTGACTTAGCATAATCGCATAGGTGTATTGATGGGGTATGATAGACAGGTGTGTAACGATGCTGTGATAGAACAGACTCTATAGGACAAACATAATTGGAAATATTACCTATAAACGTGGCAGGTGTTTGATGGTGTCATGTTTGATTAATCGTTTATGCGATAATATCTAATGAAAGATATTTTTGTTGCTTTTTTGAACACGTTATGGTATATATATGTATAACTAATTATAGTTTATATACATAATATATATATATTAAAATGTTAAAATATTAAAATAAATTAAAAATGTTTCATTATAATTATATTATTATAAATATAGTTTTATTAAATTATTAAAAATATTATATTATAACTATATATATTTATAAAAATAAAATAAATTGAAAATGTTATTTTATATGTATGTATATATAAAAGTAGTATTACAATACTATATATATAATTATATATTAGTACAATTATTATATTATATATATATATAACTATAATACTACTTTTTTTAAATTTTTTTTTAAATGATACGATGATGATGATACGCTATTAAAAATTACACCACTACGATGATAATATAATTACGCTTAAGGGGACCTTCTACTCTGCAATTTAAAAAAAATTTTTTTTTTTTTTTTACATTTTTCGAATGTATATATATGTAGAAATATTGTGTTAAAATTTCAAAAAGATCCGATGTCTCTAACTACATTTTT